CGAATTACACATCTAACATCCCCATGTCTAGCTGCGTGAGCTTAGATGAAGCTCTCTCCTTTCATCTCCACAGCAGCTCGCCATGTGAGCTCCAGTTAGAGGAGGAACTAGAATAGGATGCCATATCCCAACAGGCCGCTGTGCCCCTGGGAGTGGCATTGGTGAGTCAATAGGAGGCGCTGTCCCTGCTGAAGCAGTGCCCCAGGATGGCATTAGGTGGCACTTTTTTTCAGACAGTCCCTTGCCATTTATTGTTGACATCTGGACGTTTGTCCCATGGTCCTGGCCCTCTTCCAGTTTGTGTAATTGCATTCTCCTGCCCTAAATTGTCCCTGCAATTTTTTCCCTTTGTGTCCTAAACTTTTGTGGACTGTCGTAGTGTGCTGTTGAATTGCTGCCACACTCTGCCCCAGAAGTGGCTGCATTCCAATGCTGGGAGAAGAAATTCCTGTATATAATTTGTAGGGAGCCTTCAGGCTGACAGACAGCCTATAAACGTAAGATATTATTTTGCTGTGTATACATACCAATCGCCAGACATGTTCGGAAAACCGCAGGGAGCCAAGGTCACTATTTTTGTAAGTTGTCTTTAATGCCAAATAAAAGTGCGAGCTGACTTGAGCCCTGCGGTGGCATGAGTTGGACAGGCAGTTAATTGAGGACTAGAAACAGGACCGGCTACTCACCTGACATAAATCCAGTGTAGCTCCTTTTACCTCAGTGGAGCTTTGCCGATTTCCACCATGCAAGGACCTAGCCCACTTTAATTAACTGGGTGTGACCCTATGGAGAGGACAGCACTGGCAGCTCGGCAAGCAGGGGGCAGGAGCAGGCCTGGCTAGTACTTGGATGGGAGCTCTCCAAGGAGAACCCAGATGCTGCAGTATATAGTGTTGATGGCTCACTGGCTGCCTGCCTTCCCTCTGAGTCAGGGTTGAATTCATGCCCCAGCATGAGCTGTCGCCTTTCAGTCCAATGTCCCCAGCATTCCTGGTCTTTAAAGACCCCTTGTCATCAGTCAGGTGACTAGCTGGTGCCATGGTCCTGGCTATCTGAGTAACTGCCTTGTGCCGAACTAAACACCCCTGCAGTGTAATGGGGAAGGCAGGCTTCACGTCAGAGAAACAGTGTCGTGTAGTGTGGCGAGAGCAGAGGAGCTGCTGCATTTCCTCTCCAAGTGGTGGGTTTCCGGCATATAGCGCCCAAAAGAGTTTTGACATCCTTCAGCTAGAGCAGGGGTAGGCAACCTATGGCACGCATGCCGAAGGCGGCACGCGAGCTGATTTTCAGTGGCACTCACACTGCCCGGGTCCTGGCCACCAGTCCGGGGGGGCTCTGCATTTTAATTTAATTTTAAATGAAGCTTCTTAAACATTTTAAAAACCTTATTTACTTCACATACAACAATAGTTTAGTTATATATTATAGACTTATAGAAAGAGACCTTCTAAAAACGTTAAAATGTATGACTGGCACGTGAAACCTTAAATTAGAGTGAATAAATGAAGACTCGGCACACCGCTTCTGGAAGGTTGCCGACCCCTGAGCTAGAGAGTGCTTATAGGAATGACTGTCAATACATAGGGCCCTACCAAATTCACAGCCATAAAAAACGCATCACAGACCATGAAATCTGGTCTCCCCCCGTGAAATCTGGTCTTTTGTGTGCTTTTACCCTATAATATAGAGTTTTCACAGCGGAGACCAGCATTTCTCAAATTTGGGGTCCTGACCCAAAAGGGAGTTGCAGGGGGATCACAAGGTTATTTTAGGGGGGTTGCAGTATTGCTACCCTTACTTCTGTGCTACTGTCTTCAGAGCTGGGTGGCCAGAGAACGTCAGCTGGTGACTGGGCACCCAGCTCTGAAGGCAGCACCGCCGCCAGCAGCAGCACAGAAGCAAGGGTAGCAGTACCGCAACCCCCCCACAACTCCTTTTTGGGTCAGGACCCCTGCAAACACACCACTGTGAAATTTCAGATTTAAATAGCTGAAATAATGCAATTTATTATTTTAAAATCCAGTGACTGTGAAATTGACCAGAATGGACCATGAATTTGGCAGGGCCCCACTACTACTACTAATAAAAATGAATGCAAAGAACTTTGCAGCGTACGGTCTCAATCCTGCCATCGGACTTCTCGTGTACCCAAGATTATACACGTGTATGTGTCTGCAGGATTGGACCTGATGGATATAGGAGTTGCTTCATGCAGCACTGGAATGCATCTGCCTCTGGGGTGGAGCTTTTAACGGCATGCAGTTCCACTACATTAAAAAGAGTCATTTTCTAGCTTGCTAGACCTTCCTGAATGGGTTTGTAATTTCAGTGTAAGAGAGTTAACAGCCTGAGTTAAAACCCGATAGTAGCTGGGACATGAATAAAACAGGATTATCAATGTTCTCAAAGCTAAGACTAACCCTCCAGGTCTCGTTTGTTCCATATTCAGAGACGACCTACAATCCAATTTGGATGTAATTAAAAATGAAGTCACTCTGGATTTACACCAGAGTAACTCAGAGCAGGATGTGGCCCTAATTCCTGAAATGCTAGTGGAGTTACTCTGGATCTACACCAGTTTTAGTGAGATCAGAATCTGGCCCCTGCAGCAGGGCTTTAAAATCAAACAAAATTATGTAAGATCTAATAATTTTCCAATCTGCTTTTTCCTGCTTCCCTAGAGCAGGGCTCCTGGGAGGAGACGGGTTGAAACCTTTGCAGGCTGGGGTGGTGCAGGGCCGAATGGCTCTGCATTGATCATGGGCAGTCTTGCTTGGGGAGTGAGTGATGGAAGGAAATGATCCCCCTCCTTGAACTTGGCCAGATTTAGGCAGGTGGGTCTCAGGGCTGGCTCTGATCCTGCATGGATGAGTGCTGGGAACCACAGCACTGGAAATGGAGTGGCCATACTGATAAACCCAGGGCCAGTCCTAGCACATACCTGCTCAGCGACCTCCAGCACCTGCTGGCTTGCATAGACTCTGCCCTGGCCACCTTAAACAATCACCTTAGGTACCAAACCCCATTGATTTCTCTGAGTGATAAACACCCCCAAATTTCCCCAGCTCCCCTGTAGTGACAAGCTTCCCCGCCCCAAACTGCGCGACAGACTGATGGACTCCTTGTCAGACGGGCTGAGCACCGTCAGCTCCCATTGGCTTCCGTGGGAGTTACAGGCACCGGCTGTCCTGAGTTATCTCTAGCACAGCTCTGTACCATGCTGATGGATCGAAAGCACACAGGAGTCAATGGAAAGATTGACACTGACTTCACTGGGTATTGGATAAGGCCCACGATTTCTAACCTGGGACTCAGCCCTTCAGCCTTTATCCAAACATCCCTGCCCATGTCGGCCAGGGACACCAGCTAGCAGCAACCACGTTTGGCCAGGATTCCCCCAGCAGGGTTCAGCTGCCACCCCCAGGGGCAGGGCCTTACAAATCCCAGATGGTCGGAGCGAGAGCAGCTGTTTTGGACCGTCCCCGTTCACCAGGCTCTGGGATAACCATTATTCCTGCCCGTGTGAATCAATCAGGGCGTGAGACTGACTCATTCATATCGTGTTACCCGGACGAGTAACAGAGTATCAGACGACCTGGATGCAAAACTCTCCCACTCTGCAGTTTGGTACCAAGCTCGTCCTTTCGTAGCGTTGCAATGGCGTGCCTAGGGTGGGGTCACATGTGCCCCACTAGGCCCAGAAGTTAAAACCGGCTGCTTGATGCCACATATCTCCACGCTGACCCTAATTTGCTGGGGCCCTCCTACCTTTCCATTTCACTGGGGAATTTGCATCCAAATTTCTTTCCACCCTGCACAGCTTGTAACTGTTGTTACTTTCCTGAGATTCCCCAGAGGGGAGACACAAAATCAGTTTGGGAGAAACTTTGCTCACAACTTTCAGAAATCCTCCCCCCCCCCCAGCTTCAAAAGTTTCCTCTTCTGCTATTTTTTGTCCTCTCTCATTCCAGTTACTCCCCTTATAAAATGGAAGGACAATCGACTGCTCTTTAGCAATCAAGTGTGATGTTCTGCTTTTTCTCCATTAGTAACTTTTTTGGGCTCAGGTCTGCAGTAGCAGATGCCATGCGCTTTTCACCCTCTGAGCCGGAGGAATTTTATTTTAATGAGCACTCCCATCTCTTTGCATCCCGGGCTTTACATTTTGATTGCATTGAAAAATGTGTCATCCCGTTGCAAAAGGACAAACCACAGGAAAGGCATGGAGCGGTTCTCACTATTATTGTGTTCCAATGGCACCGAGGGGCTGCAGATGAGATCAGGGCCCCATTATGCCCAGTTCTGCACATAGACGTAATAAGAGAAAGTCCCTCCCCCAAAGAGATTATAGTCTAACTAGACAAGATGGATACAAAGGCATATAGATGATGTGACTTGCCCAAGGTCACAAAGGAAATCTGTGGAAGAGCCAGAAATTCAACCCAGATCTCCTGAGTCCCATCCCAGTGCTGTGGACCAAAATCCTCCTTCCTTCCAGTAGGACAAAATGAGGCTGCATATATTAGGTTCTGCAGTCACTGCTGTGGATCAAACCTGAGATCTTTGGTACATGTCCCTTGGCACATGAGTTAAAGGAGAAACTCTTTTATGCCCCCTCCAGCAAAGTATTTAAACTCCTGCTTAACTTTAAACAGGTACCCACGTGCATTGCTGGGTGGCGGCTCAGAGGTGGCTATGTAGCAGCTGTCACCTGGACCAGCCGCAATGGGCAGCGCCCACCTGGCTGCCACCCTCCACCCCAGAGGTGGCTGCTTTCCCACTGCACTTTGGCATGCCAGGTCCAGTGGTGGTTCCTGGGGTACAACCGGGAAGTTTGTCTGGGAGTGCTGGGCCTGGGGATCCTGGTCAGTTTAGGGGCCAGGTGGTCAGATCAGAGTAGCACTAAGACCTGGTGGAATCCTTGTCCTGCTAGCCAGTATCACCGGTGAGCGTATGCACTGGGGGGACCCATTTCCCCTTCTCCCTCCGGTCCAGCTCAGGGGAGAGAGGCGCCCAGTCTTGGCTTTTCCTTACTGCAGCTGGGCTGGAGCCCCCGTTTGTGAAATCAGCCCAGCCACAGGCAAACTCCGCCCGCGAGCAGCTCCGCGCTCCGGAGGAAAGTTGAACGCAGCAGCTGGGGTGTTGCATGGGCTGCTCCTCCAGCCACTCCCGTCGGGGGGGAGGATTCATGACTTGGGAAGGGAGGGGACGTGTCTTCCCGAGCCGGATCCGCAAGAGCGCCGCAAAAACTCTCGGGAGCGGAGGCTCTGATCTCCCGGCGCCAGCGGCCAGGCTCCGGGGGCTGCGGGACCCTGCCCCGGAATATGCCTGATCTCCAGCCGCTCATCTGCCTTCAGCGCGCCAGGCTTTGGGATCGGAGGTAGTTTTGCCATGTTTGCCAGGACGGCGCTTCAGCTCGCTCTGTGGCTGCAAGTTGCGCTGGGGCAGAGTCTACCTAAGAGAGGTGAGTGCTTGGAAAACCCGGGGTTAGCCTGGGCTATGACCCTGGCAATGTCACCGGGATGTAGGCAGTCGAGGGGGAAAGAGGGAGTGAACTCCCTGAAACTGCCCCAGCAGGGAGCAAACTTGTCTGGGTTGTTATTTATTGCAACAAATAACATGCAATTGCCTCGGGACCTTGCAGATCTCAGTCCGGTCCGAGGGAAAGGGCTGCCTGGTCCTTTAGTGCAGAAATCTTAATTTAAAAAATAACTTCAGGTACTACAGGTGCTCCTGCTAATTATTGAGCTTTAACAACTAGATACCCTCCTCCCTCCCCTTTAAAATATTTCCCCTCTGCCCATGTGTTGTGTGAAAGACCCATTGCAAACAACAGGGGAACTGGCAGTGAAACCGACACCAGGTAAACAAAGTGGAAAATCAGGGGGTGGGTGGGATCTCTAGAGTAACTTGTCACTTGAGACAGTAATGAATAAAAAAAGTTTTCAGACAACAGAGCGAGGGTTAAATCAGCAGCGTCTGGTTAATTCTTCATTTGTTTATAGGTAGAAAAAAGTCTAGGCTTTGAATCTTATAATAACAGTAGCTGCAGGTGGATTTCACGGGCTAATAGGATAGCATCCACACCTGTGGCACAGAAGGCTGGGTGAGAGGAGATGTGAACTTTCAGTCAGGTCTGGAGAACAGATTCTCAGCCTCTCCTGCTGGGGGAGCAGTTGAGGGATTGAAGGAGGGCTGGGTGGGCAACAGTTTTCCCGTCCTGGGGAAAAGTTTGATGATTCCAAAAACGTTCCTGTCCCAGATCAGAACAAAAGATCAAACTCATGAACATCTTCGCAAACCGACAATCTGGAAAATAAACAGTTTGGCTCCATCCACACATTTCATGTTGATGGTTGTGAAATGTTTTCTTGTGATGACTTATGTATGTATGTATGTATGTGTTTGTTTAATAGATATTACTAGAATTAGCTTATTTCATGAAACAAAAAGGCATTTTGAACCCACACGAGTGAGATTTTTTTAAAATGAAAAATGTTAGTGTTGAAACTTCTTTCGAAATGTTTTTGAAAATGAGAGATTTGTCAGGCCCGACCCTTGCCCACAAACCTGTTCCAATTTTGAGGAATTGGCAGCTGGTGACCAAAAAAAAAAAAAAAAAGCGATGTCTAAAAATTCCTGACCCGCTCTAGTTAGAAGCCTTCAGGGGCAGATTCTGCCACCTTTACTCAAGATGAGCAGGCTCTTGCTTTGACTTCAGCGGGACTCGTTGCAGAGTAAAGCACTGCTCAGTGTAAGAGTGCGGGAATCTGGCCCAAGGGACATCATTTACCAAGCTAGATTCCTATGCCCAGGCAGGCATTACTGCTCCTGGTGCTGTGCCAGGATTTTCTGATGCCTACACAAGCAGAAATGATTATTCTTATTCATGTAACCAGCCCTGGTAATGTACATGGCACTTCTCTAGCCTGGCCTAAGAGAGAGACCTTGCTTTGAAGAGGACATTAAAAAGGAGCAAGCCTCTAGCTTTATCAAACGGATGTGGCTGACATGAGAAGCAAAGTTAGACAAGTTGCAATCTCGGTGTCTTTGTTTTAGTTTTACAACTCTGCAACGAAATGCAATGGCTGCTCAGCTGGTCTGAGATTATTTTCCAAAATCCGACTGCTTCGCTCTTCGGTGTTTTATGGCTCCCAGCAGAGGTGCCTCTAAAGTTTTGCATAAAGTGCTCTGGAGAAAACCATCTGGTTGTGTGTTGGATGGGCTGTCGTGCGCGGCTTAGTTTGATTTACCAGCATGGTGTGTGGTGGGGTGGATTGGCAGGCATGAGGGACTAAGTGGAAGACAGAAAGTCAGTCCACACGTCTGGCTCTTCCTGGTGCTCACACTTAACACTCTTGTGGCTTCACTGTTAATTACAGCAAACAATGCAGGGAAGTTATTGGGTGGCCAGTGGCATTTCTGAGCTCTCAGAAATGACCGGTCAGTGCATTAATTCAATAGCCATCGTTATCAGAGAGCTGCCACTAAGACAGTGGGGTGCATGACCTGCAGCATGCTTAGGGCCAGATTCTTATCTCTCAGCCTCCCCCCCACCCCGTGCCAATCTAGAGTTCCACCCCTCGTTACTCTGGGTTTACATGGGTGTAACTGAGATCAGCATTAGCTGGTCATTCTAGATTTACACCAGTGGAAATCAAAATCCAGCCTATAGAAAGGAGAACATTTAGAGCCCAATTCATCACTGCCCTATACCCTGTGCCATCATTTACTCCCATGCAAAACCCTTGTGCAGCAGCAGTGATTGCATTTTGCAGCTGCATTGTGTGATTCACACCAGCACAGTGTGTGGCAGAGAGCAGCACTGAGCCGGGCCTTTGGGATGGACAGATTGCGTCTTTCTCCAGGCAGTTATGCTGCCCTGAAAATACAGATCCGTTGGTGAGTGTGAAGGCAGGAAACAGCAGCTGAAGGCAGGCTGAACCTGCGGTTTAGCGGCAATTTTGGCACAAACTCCTGGAGAGTAGCTGATTGAAAGCCGTGAGGTTGAGAGCTGCTGCTGCCGCCAGCCCTGCTCGCTTCACCCTCTGTGTCGTGGTGGGAGTGTGTAAGATTATTGCCTAGACACAGTGAAGTGGAAAGAGACCTGGCCATCTTACGCAGCTCGCTCTGGGGGCATGCGAGGGCGGTATTGGTGTATAGTGGATGACGTTTAACCCCCAAAGTCTGAGTGCTGGGCACTACGCAGGGGATGAGAAGGGGAATGGAGGGCACCAACCCAACTTATGCAGCAGCCGCTGTCCTTCCATGCACACTTTGGACAGGGTCCCACCTGCTCGTTCAGCCTCAGCAAGGAGCAGAGAAACCCCAGTCAGGCAGGGGGCACGTGGGTCATATTTTCAAGCTCTTCTCCACTTCCACGAGGGCTAGAAACGTCTTATTATTTATTTATTATTGGAAGCTAGATTCTCTCCTAATCACAGGACTCCAGGAGCTGGGGCTTTAGGCAAAGCACCAAGTATCGCAAGACAACCATGAGATGTGGCAACACTGCTGTAGCCTTAAAAGTAGCTTGGCTGAAGAGCTATTTCTCAATCTGTGGCTTATTTGGTGCATGCTGACTGCCCCTGGCTTACCCTGCAGAACAGCTTTGGTCTTTTGGTTGTGTGAGCATCCCTCATTTGGAGAGATCTGTGTTTTATCCCCTACACCCTCCATCTCCCAAACAGTGTGGTCTCTTTCGCTTGTAGTACAGCCTCTCCTCTCTCTAATGTGCCTGGCACTCCAGAGCAACATCCCCAGGGTTGGGTCAGTGGTAAAGATCCCCTCTTGGGAGATTTGATGCCTTTGCCCTAGGGCGAGTCCTACTCCTCCCATCTGTTCGGACTGGGGCAGCACTGAGAACAGAGCCTGCTTTCTTCAGCAACCAAACTCCAGCTCTGTTTCTGAGGGTGCTGGGTTTTTTCCCCTTAGGGCAAAACAGTGGGGGCGGAGAGAGTGGCAGGGCTAGAGGTTTTAAGGCACAATTAAGAGACTGGTGACTGATGTCTCTTGGCTCCTGAGTTCGCTCCATTCTTCCTACCAGTTCTGAGTCCCATATAAATCAAGCAGCACACCGTGCATGGGGTGACACCGCTGAAAGGGAGGGGAGTTTTGGCCAGCATCATCTTTTGATATCTCAATTCAGGCAGGAGGAAAGCTTTGGCCAGCTACTTTCTCCCAGCTAAAGCCAAGCAACTCGATGGTCCCGTGACAGCGTTGTGATCTCCACACTGATCGCTTCCAGTCGCGGAGCCCATACCTCGCTTGGCTGGCATGCACGCTGCAATACAAAAAGGTCAGCGAGTGGGAGAGCGGGGCTGTGCGGCTCTGCCCTTTTTTTCCAAAGACCTGGGTTCCAGGACAGCCTGGGGTCACCAGTGACATGAGTTTCCCACAGTTAGTCCCCAGGTGAGGCGATTTTGTGTCTTAGAATAAGGGGCACGAGGTGCATCGGCAGAGCTGCTGCAGGCGCTCAGCAGTGGTAGAGCAGACGGTGCTGCAGAGCTGTGAGTCCAGCAGTGGAACGGGGTCTCCTGTCCCAAGGCTGGAGTTAGTTCCATGAAGCACGTTTTAAGGAAGTCTCTTTACCAGTTGCCAAGAGAACAGAGATGGGTTTAATAAAGCAACCCAAACCCAACCGCCCTAGCTAGATCTGTGTATGTTTGTCACTGGGCTGGGCTGGGTCGATGATGCTGAGGCGGGTTCCTTGTCTTAAAGATCCCGCTGGAGGTGAGAAAGCTCAGCTTCGAGGATTAATTACATTTCCGTGTTGCTTGGAGCAGGGGCTGATTGCAAAGCACCACAGGATTAACCAGCAGTTTGAACCCCAGGAGGTCCCCTTCCATCTCTGATGAAATGTGGAGGATGAAGGGGAAGAAAGAACTGGTACAATTACAAGGACATTAAAAAAAGAAAATGCAAAGGGAAGAGCCTAGCCCCTTATAGCGTGTTGTGCTCCTGTCCCATGCTTTGTGATACAGCTCTGGTCTAGTGACAATTGTGAACAGAGAGAGACCGGGGGGGTGGGGAGGAGCAATTTATTGATATTTTGTTGGGGTTAAGTGTCAGGGGAAGCTGAGCCTGATATAGCATTTGTTGTTGTTGTTGTTGTTGTTGTTTTATAAAGGAGCAAACCTGGATATCTCAGCCCTAGAGGGGAGGGAATCAGAAATTCTGTGATACCCATAAATAGCTGCAAAATATACGCCTGCCTCCTTGCACAGGTTCTCCAAACAATAAAATCTAGCCACCTTCCAGGAAGTTCTGTCTCGAAGATGTGGTACTTCCTGGAGTGCCAGCCAATCAACACACCCATTTCCAGCGCGGCATGATGGCTCTATCTAGCCTTTCAGTGGGTGGTGGCATCATCTGAGGTTTGGCAGGATGCTGGTTCACATCCCTCCTTTGATAGTTTCCTCTTGGGAGTGGCTGCGCTGTGGTTTTTTTTGGTCAGTGCCTTTC